TATGAATGTTGTACCCAAACCTTTTACAAGGCTCTTGAAATTTTTAAGTGATGTTAATGTCTTGCTAAATTAACCCCAGAATTAAGACAAACTCTAAACGATGATGTTCAAAAGCAGTATATGCTAAAACTAGACTCCTAGACTTGGTTAGGCCTTTTCCTAAGTGCTCTGAAAAGCTGAGTGTCGCTGCACATCTCTACCCAGTGAGTTCAGGATCAAAGATCTTCTCCTTTCTCTCTTCTATTCTTGTGTTCTCGAGTGATTATGCCAAATAAGAGCAGTTACCCCTCCAAAAATAGTTGAAGTGTAGATGTTCATTTAGAGTAGCTGCTTTATTCTTTGGCATGGAAATGCCATCTTCTAAGTTCGTTGTGTCAGAAAGATTCTTGGACACTATTTTCTTTCATTTTCAGTCTTGCTGCCCTGTTCCAGCTGCCATCTTGTTTCTCCCGGGTTTTTACAGCAGCTGCCTTGCTGATGTCCCCGCCTCCATTCTTTCCTTTCCAGTCCACTATCATACCGTAGTAAGGTGATATTTCCAGGACGTCAATGCAAGCACATTGCTTTCTTCTTATATATTGCCATAGATTTTCACCACCTTCAGAATAAAATCCATATTTCTCAGTGTGACTTTTGTAAGGCTTCCCATGTTAGATTTTACTCTTAAGGTAATAAGACTACAAGAAGAGAGGGAAATAAATTTTTTTAAAAGTTCAGTATATAAAACTAGAGTAGTTCAATGACTGGAGACATATAGTGTTTTCTTTCTTTTTCTTTTTTGTACTGGGCATCAAACTCAGGACCTCGTGCTTTTAAGGCAGGTGCAGAACCACTGAGCTACACTGGGCATCCAATAAGAAGATGCAAAGAGAGCAACGGAGGCATAAAAAGCGTCATTTCAAAGTCTTATTATCACTATTATTATCATTATTATTATCACTATTATTATTATTATTATTATTATTATTATTATTAGTGAATGACTGATATGACGATTTCACATCTGAGAGGCTCTCTATTGCAGCCTAAATTCACACAGCCCTGGCTGTGGGGTTGGTTAGTACATAGCTCTGGACACTCGGATAAACACTGGGCCATTGGGCATCTTTGTCTGTATCTCTAATCCTTGGGAGTGTTCAGCCTTGACCAGCTCTGCTGCCCGGTGGCTGTACAGTCATCATGGCCCAGCGTGGGGAATGTGAAGGAGACAGCAGCCTCCTGGGACATGAGTTAGACCCGGTTGGCCACAGCTGTAGCTTCTCCCTTGAAGGGGCACCCTGTTTCTTTCTCCTCTTCTTGGGGTCATCTGAAAGGGCTGACTGGTAACCTTAGGAGTCAGACATCTGAGAGCAAAGGATTCTGGTCATAGCTCCTTTGGAAGCAAAAACTAGAAAACCCCAAAGCTGAAAACTAGAAAATGAGGAACTGGAGCTAGGTTTTCCACATTGTAAGCACCACATTGCCTGTTTCTCACTCATCTGACCACATGCTCTGCTCTTCTGCTTCGGCCAGCTCTCTACTTACTCATCTTGCAAAAGACTCAACACGGCACCATCCATTTCTATGCATAAAGCCTGCACCATGGATGCTCACTTCTGCAGTCTACTAACAACATGTCTAGCTGCTCATTTTTCCTCAGCTCCAGATTTTCTAACATGATTTATCCAAGTTGTCATTTGAACAAAAACCCAAGTCTAAGCTCCCTGGGTAGCCTAAGGATCAGGTCTCCTGTCTCAGATGCTAACAGAGCATCCAATTACCTGAGGCCACAATATACAAGGTCACATGCTTTCATGCTCACTTAGTAGGCACTAAGAGTGAGGATTCCCGCAGAGGGCAATGTGAGTAGAACAACAATCAGAAACAATTTCCATGCCTACTGTGTGAGAAGAAATAGAGTACAGTACTCAAAAGTGTAGACTCTGGAGCCAGACCTCTTGAGTTTAAATTGTGGCTCTAGCTGGTGACCTTGAGCAACTGATCTAATTTCTTAGTGTGCTTTCCTATTTAACTCATTAGTGTGCTTTAATGGAATAGAAAAATAATGGTACCCATCTTCTAGTCATTGTAAAGGGGGAGAGAGAGAGAGACAGAAAGAGAGAGAGAGAGAGAGAGAGAGAGAGAGAGAGAGAGAGAGAAAGAATACTTGCATACTTGGTATAAGTCATAGAAGGGTTAAGCATCACAGAGATAGAAACGTGAAGTGTAGAATGTGGTAAATTAAAAAGCACTATGGATGACTGGTTGGATAATCACTACCTAGATGAAAGGCAAAACCCAGCTTCAGTAGAGAGGAAAGCAAATTAATGGCCACACTACGAATGGGTTCTGAATTCTTCTGTTGAAATGCGTGGGACAGAAATATAGCATAGGACGGGTTAGAGACAGAGAATAGCAGAAAGGAACAGAGTGGGCCCAGCTCAGGTATGGGCACACACTGCTATAGCATAAGCCTTGAAAGTCTGGATATGCCCTATGGCCTAGGCATCTTCCATCCATGTTTCCAACAAGCATGGCTTTGTTCTGTCCCACCCTGTAAGAACCACTAGTATGGGATTAAAAAGCAGAAACTTGGGCTGGGGATTTAGCTCAGTGGTTTGGTGGCTTGCCTTGCAAGCGCAAGGACCCGAGTTCAATCCCCGGTACCAAAAAAAAAATTAAAAAAATAAATAAAAAGCAGAAATTCTCCTTAGGAGTTTAAAGATATTAGATTCTATAAATATTTGGTACTAGTGTAGATATCTGGATAAGATGAAACCATTCATTCATCAGCTATTTCTTTGTCTCTTGCTATGGGACCAGCTCTGTGTTGAAAATGCAGCAATAAATACATCCAAGCTTTTTGTGCCCAGTCCTATAGTAAATTATTTAGGCTGCTGCCTTTTGTATGGAAAGGATACCGTTGATCCTGACCAGAGGCTGCGTGCTGTGTGGGTCTCTGAAGACGCATAGACGATCCCCTGAGCCTTCTCACTTTCTCCAAAACCTGTGCTGGAACTGGAGAAGCAGCAGGATGAGGAGGGAATTGGGAAAAGTTGACGAATTTATGTTCATCTCCCTTCTTCACTTTTCCTCCTGGAAGTGTGAACAAATAATGAAACTGCTAAAAAGAAAGGCGGCGTGAAAGGAGGAGGCTGCACAGTTGGCCCTTGGAAAATTCAAAATCTGGATCATTAGCCGTGAAACTGAGCTAGAGGTGCTGAATATTCATTCTCACGATAGTGTGCATCGTGGTGAGATTTCTTTTCTTGACACAATGAACAGAGTGTCCTGACACCTCTAGGCATTAGGGTGCTTACAGAATCTCATCCGAGGCGACAGCAAGAGAAGGGACTTTCACTTCACCTCCCACACTACCCCCAAAGTGCCACCATCATGCAAAATTACACACACAATCTCATGCTACAAAATGTAAAATAACCACTGCACGTCAGAAGTGCTATTTCCCACCTAATTGTCCCCTGTACCTTCTGAGTAGATAGCATATTTTTTCCCAATCTAAAATTTAAAGCTCACTACTTAATAACTAACCAGTTTAAGATAAGATATATATTCTGGGGTACAAGAAACATTACATTAAAATACACTTGAGGTCTTGAGACCAATGGGAAGAAAACTGGACCCTTGAATTTTATATTCTTCAGAATTATACAGCATCTTCTACATAGCTAGAAACTCAATAAACATTGAAGATCCTAAATGCTGCGCTGAGATAAAACCGCTATCAAATATTATTTGCATGGATAGGGCAAGCTAGAGGTAAATAAAAAAGTGAAGGGTTATTCAGCAGAATTTACTGTGCTGGAAGGAAAGAATTAGAAGTTTCCAAGAAGGAAACAACCCCCACTGTCTGCCAGTTTACTCAGAAGTCTGAACTGGCCCACCTTCCAGAATCTTCTATAGTTAGGCTGTGCCCTAGGAAGCCATTGTTAGAGGACAAGAGGTCGGCTGAGAAGAAAGCAGACTGAGTCTCTTAAACAGCACAGAATCTCAAGCAAGTTTTACAATGCGTGCTGTGTGTTTAAAGGAGATCTATTTTCATTCCCACTCGGGATGTATAAGTAAAGAAACCATGATCTCTGTATTCTTTTTTTTTTTCCTTTTATCCAAAGAAGATGTTTTGAGCAGCTACTCGGTGCCAGTTGGGGAAATTTTCATTTGATCTACTTCTTTGTTTATGAGAATTCTGTGTTATCTTCTGTTGGAAGACATGATAGCAAAACAAATTTATTTTTTACTGTTGTAAAAAAGGAGATTATTATTTAGGACCAGAGTCAATAACTCTCTGACTGTTAAAGGAAATTGGTCAACAACAGTATCCCTATTATGTGGTTGTATTTTAAAGAATATGTGATATTATAGTTGCGTTCTGAGTAGTGGCTTTACAAGGGAGTATAGTGAGACTACATGTGAAAACCATGATTCTCTTGGAGCTATAAGTAAACCTTCAAAATCAGGTAGGCAATGTTATCTAAAAGCGTACAGTTGTGAAAACAGACACAGTAATCATAGGTCAAAGTTTAGTAACCTTTTGTGCTTTGTAGGATGATCTGAGCCAAACTTGTCCAGTGAGATAATCACCTTTGTCCAGCATGATAGTCACCTGACAGGGACCTGTAAGCGAACCTGGTGAGCTGCTGTGTTCTGCTGGAGGACCTAGGACAGAGGACAGCACAGTGCAACTTGGAAGTAGAAAATCAAGAGCTGCCTGTTAAAACACCAGATTTTAGACATAGAAATACATGTTGAACCTTTCAGAGTAGTCACCTTGGAAGGCATTTCCCTTATGCACGGTTTCTGTCCCTGTAATTAGTTTTAATTTTTTATGAAAACTGCTTCTAAACCCGGTGTGACACATTATTTTTAATATTCTCCGTGGAAACTAATAGTGTTCTTGATTTAACATTGGGAGCAGCAGTGGGTCTGGTGTCTGGGGATGAGAAGAGCTGGAGGCAGAGGAAGAGTTCAGCCTGGAGATGCTAACCTGGAGTTGAGGCCGCATGGTCATCTACAGTAGTGGGATCGTGGGCAAGGTGAGTAACTGAGCTAAGCCAGCCTGGAGCAGACTCTTCCTTCATCCCTTCATTCCTTCCTCCAGTGGACAGACACTTTACCAGACCTGTACATGGATGTGGGTGCTGGGAGTTGAAGGGTGAATTCATTACCTCTGATGCTACATTTCTGTCCTTGATTGATGATCAATCTTCAAAAACAAACAAACAAACAAACAAACAACAGGCTCAGCATGCACTAGGATTGGTTAATAAGGATGATGATGTTGGTGATGCTTAAGTTACTTTTGTTTGGTACCAGGGCTCTAACTTGGGTCTTTGCACCTCGAAGGCAGGCACCACTGAGCTAAATCCCTGACCCCCTTAAATTATCTTTGATGAAAGTTCCCAAAACTATATTCCAAAGGATTTTGAGAAACTATAATTTCAGTAAGTAAAGTTTTAACTTCTTTAAGTTAATATAGATGAAGAAGCAGACTCATTTCAGATGCATTAGTTTGGTACCTGGACTGATTTTTCTTTTATTCTTCCCACCTACTTCCTTCCTTCCTTTTGTCCTCCTTTCCTTTCTCCTCTTCTTTGTTTTTTAAAAATTTCAAACACTGGCTTGCAGTCCCAGCCATGCATCAAAATCATCAATGGGGCTCTGACGGTAAGACACTGCCTGCCAGCCTCCTTCCTAATTAGAATCTCAAGAGAAAGGTTTGGCCTCTAGGCCTTTAAAGAGCCTCCTGGGTGATTCTGGCACACAGCCAGGGATAAGAAACAACCTTATTATAACTTCTTGTACTTTTGAAACTTTCTACTTTTATCTTAACATATTATAGCTATTTGGTCTCATAAAAGTTTAAAAAAAAATATTAGTGGCATCTTACTATAATTGAAACTAAATTCTGTTAATAAATAAAAATCAGATCCAGAGAGAATTTCTCCATCTACAAATAGTATATTTTTTGTAGCTGAGCATCCATTGTGGGCCTAACTCTGCCGTGTAGGTGACTATAAAAGAAATTCAAAACTCGGTCTCCACCCTTAATGACCAATGTTAGAAATAGGGGAGGATATTAATAGAATTGTGAAAAGGGCATGCACAATACTCAGGGCCATAGGAAACCGCAGCTATCTTTTCTTGTGAGTCTCCAGAGGGTTGTGTATGTACGGAAGGCTGCAAGTATCTAGGTGGACTTTGATGCCAAACACCATTGTGGATTGCAGTATGAGTCTCAGCTGGATCATAAAGCCTAACCCAGACATCCAGGTTGAGCTGCGTCACAACTCCTAATCCTCACCCCAAATCATACCGTGCTTTAGATGGCCACAAGGAAATGAGGAAACTGGAAAAAAGGAAGCTGTCAGCAAATAAAAACATCAGGGCCTGGGGTCTTCTAAGGAAATGGCTCCTGACTCAGCCTACTATCTTTGTTTATGAGTCAAAACTTGGGCAGAGAAAGAGCCAGCAAACATGCTTCACTGTACCACTGGCCTCTGGGAGTCTGACAGCACACAGAAACTTCTGAGGGGTAATGGTCAGCATGTGAAGCCGAAAATGGGAAAGTTACTGCTCCAAAGGCTGCAAAAGAGGATCTGAAGTCAGTGAGGTGCACATTTTCTAAGTACTGTGCGTATTTATAAATTGGAGTTATGATTTCATTTTATTCTAAAAGCCTGTTTTCTGCGATTCATCCCCTCATCCTCCTTATAGCTAGCTGCAGTCCCTAACACACAGTAACAAAGAATGTCTTATAAGTAAATGAAGACTGTCCTGTAAAAGATAGAATATTAGACTATATAGATAATAATGTGTGATAGATAAATGCTGTAGGAGTTTAAGAAACAAAGTGTTCAGTGACCTGGAGAGTTAGAAAAACCTTTGTAGAGAAGGGAGGTGTGGGGTAGAACCTTCCCCTTCCCTGATAAAATCTCTGTTGACACAGAAGGTACCTGGCCTGTGACCAGTACTGCAGCCTCTTGGAGTTCCTGCAACAAGTCACAAATCAGCTGTCACTTTGAAAGTTGGCAAAAGTTGGAAATCTGTTCAAAGACCATCTGTAGTCACTGAGTGGCATAATTACTTTCTCTTTTTTGTTGAACATTCACAGTGGAAAGACTATAATAGAAAAGGGTAGACAAATGGAAGTATTTTATCTCCTAGAGAGGAAGGGAGTAGAACAACAACACACAGAAAAAGCAAGCTGGGGATTTAGCTCAGTGGTTCCACTGACTGCCTCTCAAGTGCAAGGACCAGAGTTCGATCCCTGGTACCAAAAAAAAAAAGGGGGAAGTGAATTTCTTTTGAAAACTAAGGGTAGTTCTGCTGTATTCTGTTTTTATATCATACAGTAAAATGCCCATGAGAGGATAGCAAAGACATAGAAGGAGATAAAAATTCATGTGAACATACTGTATATGTATAAATGTGAATGCAAGAGTGCCAGAAATATGCATTATATACATTTGAAATTTATATTCACAAATGTTAAATATATTAAAATATTTAAAATTAGCTTAACATATTTAATACGTAATATAATACATTGTATTTGATATATGAATATATTGTGTGCAGTATATAT